GTAGTTAAAATAGAGTTCAAAAATTCTTCCGCGACGCATGTATCACGCATATATCTCACACATAGTTATACATATGATACACATTTTATACAAATATGATATATATGTGATGCACAAATGTATCACACATTCATCTTCTACTTCGAATTTTCAATTCAAACCACCTCAAAACTCTACCAAATCATCCTAAACTGAGATTTAAACTCCTTAAGATGTATCCAATATATTCCAACAATACCCACTCAAAAAAAAATTGATAATTTTTGTCTACAAAAAGCTAATTGGCTAATATTGATAATATTTTATAAATGGCCAAATACATCGGCACCCCTTAAAGTTGTATCATCTTTCCACTTTACTACTTATTCTTCAGTATGTTCCATATAGGCACTTTAACCAACCCTTTAGTGTGTCACTTAAACAATAAAATTTTGACCCATATTAAAACCAAAGTGCGTGTGTGGAAGCGATGTTCATGTGTAATTTCAGCCGAATAAATATACGCCATGTGGATATATTGTCCACGTAATTCACTTGGGTATTGGTTGACCCGTCACAAGGGTTGTTATACACTAATAAGGAATTACCCATCCCCATTTTTTACCTCCATTAGTCCGTAAAAAAAATAAAAACCCTAACCCGACAAATTTCACTACGAATCACTTGTTCATGCTCCCAAATCCATCGGCTTGAATTTGTTTGTCTTTATTTTTTTACTGGTAAACAATATTTGTTGTTTATCCATAGTTATTTGTTGTTTATTGTGGTTGCATATTAGTAATGTGATTTTTGGAATCTCAGAACCAAAGTTTAAGTTTTTTCTCTTCTTTTTTGTCGAATCTTTCTGACTTGCCTTTGTTTTTTCGTGCTTTGTCTTTCTCAATGTAGGGTAAAGTATGTCTGGGGACACCTTTATTCTTGTACGCTTTCATCATAGTGGAACCTTTACCAAATCTCCAGACGCAAAATATGTCACCAATATAGAGGTGAATGAATTTTCTATCGATCAACACCACTTCTTCCTTTTTAAATTTAGTTTTATACAAGGGGGCTGGGGTACCGCAGTATTGGGAGTTTTTATGTCTTTAACCCTAATACTAAAGAATTTGTATTGATGGAAAATGATGAATAATGATATAATATTGGTTGCCACTGTACAAATGGGAAATTAAATGTGTATGTTTTACATGTTATTGATGAGGTTGTTGACACATTTGTCCCAGCTGGCTATTTATGTGGACCAAAAATTACTCAAGATAGTAGTGACTCAATAAATAAGTCATCTAGGGAAACAGTTGAAGGTGATCCAGATAATATATATACAGAAGAGCCTCTCGAAGAGCCTCCACTTGAAGAGGCTCAGGCTGGTGTTGCTGTTAAAGATTTTTTTGGTGAAGAACTAAATATTGGTGGTGTAGAGGAATTTATTGCTGAGAAAGATGATTATGTTCTTGCAGAAGATGAAGTTATTGGTGGTGAAGAAGGAGTTGAATCAGATATGGATAGTAGTGAGTCTGATGTAGATAAAATTTCTGATGAGGATAATAGTGAGGTTCATGAAGAGTTGAGAGTCATAAGAAATGATAGGAGAAATAAAAACAAGGCTAGTAGAAGAAAGAAACAACCTGAAACTGTTGAAGTACCAATAGGAGAAGCTGGAATTGATAGAGGTTTTGAAGATATAGGGGTGAACAAAGAAAAGAAATATACTAGCAGATTAGGAGGTGATGAAGAATTCATAGATAGTTCATATGCTGGAAGTGATGACACTAATGAAGAGCTGGATGTGGACTTTAAGCCAGTGTTGACATTCTACGTAGAAGGAAGATCACAAAGGTTAGATATGACTCAGACTGTGTAGTTTCAATATTTGAATTGGGCATGATATTTGAGAATTCTAAGGTATTTAGGAAGGCAGTGACTGATTATGTAATTGAGTACAAGGTTCAACTCAAGCTTAGACCCAATGAGAAGCATAGAGTAAGGGTAAGGTATAAACATAAAAGATGCATATGGGAGTTTTTGGCTAGTATTGATAGGGATTCTAATGACTTTATGGTGAATAAATACTACCATGTTAACAAGTGTCAACCATTGAACACAAACATATTGTGCAATTCCAAGTACATTGCTAACAAATTTAAAAAGAGCTAACTGTTGCACTTATATGAGGATCTGGAAAATTTAGGAACTTGTTAGAGAGAATTTGGGATTGTATGTAAGAAGAACGATTGCTTATAGGGCCAAACAAATAGTTCTTAGAAAGTTTATGGTGGATTGAAAGTTGGAGTTTTCTAGACTTTGTGACTATGTTGATAGTATTAAAGAAACAAAACCTGGTAGCTCTTGTTGGGTAGAAATTGACAGGGAATCAGAGCCTAGTAAAAACTTGTTTAAGTACTTTTATGTTTGTTTTGATGCGTTGAAGAAAGGTTAGCTAGAAGGTTTGTAGGAAGATCATTGGCTTTGATGGGTGTTTTATAAAAGAAGATTACAATGGTGAATTAGTGGTTGCTATAGGAAGAAATGGGAAACGGCAGATGTTTCCTATTGCATGGGATGTTATACACCATGAGACCAAACATTCATGAAGATGGTTCATTGAATACTTAATGGAAGATCTGCAGCTGGGATATGGTCAAGGTTTAATAGTAATGTCAGACATGCAGAAGGTAAATATTTTTCTATTCTAGCTTATTAATAGTAGTACATTTTTGTGGTTTAATTTCTAATGTTTTATTCTGCCTATATTTTTATGTAGGGATTTTTGGCAGTTGTGAAAGACTTGTTACCTGAAGCAAAAGTCAGAATATGTGCAAGGCACATATGGTAAAACTAGTCAAGGAAATAAAAGGGAGAAGAACGAAAAAAGTAATTCTGGAAAGTTTAAAAGACAAGCTATGTGTTTAAATACATCAAAGAAGTTTCCAACAGAAGGAGACTTGGCTCACAGAAGATATGTGAAGACATGATGAAGTATCCAAGGGAGGCATGGTGCAAAGCCTTCTTCCAAGAACATTTCAGGTGTGGCATAGTAGAGAATAACATGTGTGAGACTTTTAATTCATGGATATTGGCTTCTAGGCACAAGAGTATTATTACCATGCTAGAGGAAATTAGACATAAGATCATGGCTAGACATGTTGATATGATTAAGTTTGCTGAGACATAGGTTTCAGATATATCACCTTTGGCTAAGCTAATATTAAAAGAGAACAAGGTGTTAGCTAGACAGTGCACAATTATATGGAATAGTCATGATGGATTTGAAATCAAACAGAAAGAGTTAAGGTTTATAGTAAATAATACATTCAAGACTTGCACTTGTAGGTTGTGGAAGTTGAGAGGCATCCCATGTGAACATGTAATGTGTGCATATTATTACTTATAGTAGGATACAGATGAACATGTGGTGCACTGGTATAGAAAGAATAAATTTTTATAGAATTATGGGCACTTCATTCAGTCAATTCCTAACTTTAAAATGTGGCCTATGAGTAACAATCCTCCAATTGAATCACCAGCACCAAAGCCAATGCCAGGCAAACCCCAAAAGAATTGAAGAAAGGCCAAGAATAAACAAGCAAAAAAATAGAGCAAGCGATCCAAAAAAAAGATTTAAAATGACATGTTCACAATGTCATCAACTTGGCCACAATAAAAAATGATGTCCAACAAGAGTATGAACTATACTATACAACTATTATTTAATGTGATATCTTCATTACATTTTCTGTAACTTCACTGCATTTTTGTTTCTTTATTATTTCAGAGTGGTCCTGGAGAGTCTTCAGCTACTACAAGGACAACTAGTGGTATGCAATTATTGGAGGAAGGGGCAATGGTATATCAATTGACGCAACTAATGGAGGAAAGGGCAGAGGAAGGGGCAATGTTATACCAATTGGTGAAACTACTTAAGGGGCATGGGAAGGGACAGAGGAAGGGCCAGTAGTATAATAATTAGACCTACTAGGAATGTATTTCCATATGTAATTCCTCAAACTGCTCCTAGAGGAAAGGATACAATACCAAGAGGAAGAGGAACTTCAACTAGTGTGAAAAGGGGTATGGGAAGTGCACATGAAGTTGGATCTTCATCTGCTGCTGGCCAAAAAAGGCCAAACATGTTAGATTTAGATGCCCCACTAACCAAGAGACTGGAAGGACAGTCCTTAATATAAGTACAATTCAAACATTTCGTTATGTTACTTTATAAATTTTTTTAGTCTAATATTAAAGGCTTTTTACCTTTTCAGCCTAGTACTTCTGGTGAAAGAGTTATCAACCATGGGAATAGGTTGAGTAATACCACTCTTGTGCAGCCAAGTGATGGAATTAGGCTACCAAGACTAAGATGAAATAGAGGATATGTAATTACTACTTCGCAACTTCAACAAATGAGTGCAAGTCGAAGAAACAAAGTTGGACAACCCACAAATCAACAACCATCACAAAAAAATATAACTCAAGAGATCATGGATAAATTTGCCAAGAAATAGCTTCAGTGACTTGGATTCTATAGTTGAAAGTCTTTAGTTTTTGTTGTTGAACCTCTTGTTGGTAAATGTGATTTGCAACAATATGTATTGTATTTTGTTGAACCTCCTTTTGCCATTTTCTTTTGATTACTTGTAATGTGCTGCATTTTTTTCATATTTGTAGAACTTTTTTGAGTTGTGTGATTTCATTCACTTTTGTTATTATGTTTGAAGCAGTTATCTATTGAAAGAAATATGCCTTGCAAGTTGTTTACAGCTTCTACAATAGGATATAAGCAGGTTATAATCTGAAATTTTCTTTTGAATTTTGTGATGTTTGGATTACAAAATCCTATTTTGTTACCAATTTCTTCTCATTTCATTGCATTACAGAAATACTTGAATTAATTTTAAGATCGTATGGAGCCTAAACAATATTACCAGTTTTGTTGTATCTAATGGCAATAGGCATAAATTGAGAATTCTATCAATTGTTTCTTAGAACCAATGCGACCAAAATATGATTCAAATATTGTGAATTACATTAACAACTAAATATGTTGTAAACATCCTACAACAACTTGTTACACAAACAACATCCAAATAATAAAAGGCACCAACTACAAAACATTATCAAACACTAACAACACTAACAACCATCCCACAAATACACTATCAACTACGTTCAGCCACTTCCAAATTCTTTGGCATCAACAATCGCAAGAATAACAACACAACCAAATAATTACGGCAAGTAGTGGAATAACAAACAATAATTTATTCCTCCATTGTCTAGCTCGTTCCCTTTCTTGATAAAAAGCCTTGACTCTCTTCAAAAAACCCTAAATAACTTTATTTGTTTGATCAGGAAATGCCTCCCCAAACCATCTGAAATAGTTACATCCTCATTTGTCTTATAAAATATATCTCAATAAATCAATTGAAAAAATTTACCATTTCATACCAATATAAAGATCAAAGAAATAGAAAAGATTATCGAAATATATACTTACTAAGCCAATTTTGCATACAAAAATACCTTCTGCCTGGGTTTGCCGAACTCCATGAGATTTTAAACACACATGCCTGACCACATTGGCACGAATCAATCCTCTCTAAATTTTGAGACATTGTCAAGTAACAAACTGAGAGAGAAGATGTGAAGAAAGCTTCAACTGAAAATCGAAGGAGGACGGGGGTCTTCAAATTGGGGGAAAAAATCAATCTTGGCAGAGAAATTCAGGTTGAAGAAGAGGAATTAAGGCATGGAGAAGAAGAAGAAAGGGGAAAAGGGGTTAATATAACGTGGGTTTTGCATTTTTATCGTTGGAATAGTCCATGTCAGACTATGTTTTTACATTCACGTGCTCATTATATGTGATTCACACGTGAGGTGTCTCGTGAGATTTTAGTGTTTAAGTGACACACTAAAGGGTTGGTTGAAGTGGCTACATGGAATGGACTGAAGAATAAGTAGTAAAGTGGAAAGCTGATGCAATTTTAAGGGGTTGCCGATGTATTTGGCTTTTATGAATTGGCTAATTTTTGTGCTAACTTATGGGCTGACATAACTGGTAATTTTTTTTAATATTATTGAATTGAAACTCATGAAATTTGGACTAGTATTTTAAAAGGCATAGGTGTGAGGGAAGACTTTTTTTCTTATAAGGGGCGAGGCGTAACCCTCGAGACATAAGGCGTAAGCCCCACGAGTCTTTAAAAGCTTTAATTAATTAATTAATAATATTACATAATAACACAAAACAATACATAAAATAAATTAAAAGTTCAAGAAAATTTAAAAAATTAAAGTAAAAAAATATCTAGCATATTTTTACAAGTATAAATAATATAATAATATTAAAGTTACTATAAACTATAAATCAACTATAACGTCTTAACTTTTACAATATTAAAAATCACAATTTCTTAAAAAAAATATTATCAAACTATATATTTTACATCCCTAAAAGTAAATACTCTATTAATTTCATCAGTACTGTAATTTAAAAATATTACTCCTTCATGCGTAAAATAGAAAATTACTTTTAAATAGTAAAATAATAAAAGTGTGATAATTTTGAGAGGCATAATGAAGATCTAACAAGTACATATATAAATTATGGCTATCTATTTTTAGAAGAAATATTCAAATAATATTAATTTTGGCTATCTATAGTTCGTTATTTGAGTTATTCACAATCTTCTTAATCCTATAGATGAATAGAACTTTAATCGTTCATTTGTTAAAGAATTTTAAGAGTCAACAGTACTAATTAGTGAATTAGACACATGATTTGTATAAGGACTATTGGGAGAGCATCAAGCTTTGGGTGTGTTTAGGGCGTACAGTCGAGTACTTGGGGCATAAGCCTTACGTAACTAAGCCCCACACATGAGCATCAAGGCATTTTGACAGTGCCCCGTCCCAAGCGAGCTCTAAAAAAGCCTTTTAAAACAGAAATTTGAACTATATTTTAAATTTAAGACATAATAGATTATTAGTTCAAATTAATATTATCGCTAATATAATTAGTTTAATTATTTCGACACAATTAAACGAATTTAAGTAAAAGTCCATTAAGATAATTCGTTCAGTCGGGCTTCAAACGATGAACTCAGACAACGCCTTTATCCGCTACTAAAAATAAAAATCCTCAATATGCCGAAAAAATCATCACAAAGACGCAAAAGAGAGCTCTAAAAGTTAAGAACTTTAAGAATCCCTCTACAAATTGCAAGCAATGAAACACTTCCATACAAGTTTCAAGCATTGAATCATTTCCGTATATGAAAAAAAAAATCATACAAGTTTCAAGTACTCAAGGATTAAGAACAGGTAAATCAAATATAAAGGCGTTCCAAATTCGAGGTCCCAATCAAATTTAAGATCAAACTTCAAGCCCTTGAATTCAAATTAATAAAACTCAAGATCAAGCTATCAAAGCCATTGGATCAGCAATTAAAAGAGAAGAAACGATAGATACTTTCTCCGAACTTAGAGAAATTCTACGGCTTGCGACACTCATTGTACTAATTTGCTACACGATTCTTCTTGTCTTGATTTTCACATGCCCGAAGTTTTTTGTCACAGGCAAATTGCGATACTAATACAAATTTAAATTAATTATCATATCATAGCAATACATAAGTGAGGAATGACGGGTAATATGGCCATTGTTCTGCTACAGAAAGGATAAGAGACTCGATATGATTCGCATCAATCATTTCCCTCGATGGTCTTTGAGTTTCAGGCAAACATCTTGTGCTCGGCGGCTAGAACTCAAAGCAAATAGTAACATTTGCTGTCGGTGCCTGTTTTGAGCCACATCCAGCAAAAATTTACAGAATTCCTAACTGCTATCATTAATCACTGGCTTCACCGTGCAACACATTTTAAGGTTGGACGTAGTACTGGCAAAATAAGAAATTATGACCTCAAATAATCAGAATGCTGCCAAGCACTAGACCTCAGTGGTTAGCACGTAAAGATCCTCTTCAGAACCACCTTTAAGTCATCTTCGACTGCCCCATTGTCATTTCTCTATCTCCTCCTGAATATGACCGTCTGCATTAAAAGATGAAGTTCAATAAAACATTGATGACCCCTCAAATATTACCAGTCCAAGCCTGCAAAGAAATCTATACTCTAACCAGGAAGTCCAACAGCCAAGTTCGCCTGCTGATCAGCATCACAGTTTGATTCCTAACAAAAAGAGAGTTGAAAACTTTTACATCTCCAAAAATGCCAAGGTAAGAACAAGGTAATTGATCAAGCCATAATGAGGGCTCTAATACAAATTTGGTACTATTATATAGTAATAAGTTTGTGATTGATAAAGTGAGACAAGCATATAAACCAAGAATAAAGGGGTAGAGAAGATTTTTTAGGTTACCCGAAGAACATGAATGATGCGGAAAGAAAGAAACCTATCCTTCAGTTGTTTTGCCTGCTGAAAAAGCGTAGAGATGTTTTGATTTTTAACCTTCCACAGACCCTGGATCTGTTCGGAAGGATATACACTTTAATGGATCAAAACCAAGCAGATAAAAGCAAAGAATAAAATAAGAAACCAAACTATAAAATAAACTCTGATGACACCAATGCAAAAACCTTGTCAAAAGACCAACTTCAGAAGCTATAATAAAACATCTCGGAGATATAACTAAGCTCGTCAAAGACTTTAAAGAGTTCATAGAGAAAACAAATGTATGTTGATTCTTTTTCCCACTAAGAGAATCTTCTTGAATGGACAAGAACTATTTGCCGGCTTCTACATTTTCCCTCTCTATCTTTACCCAGCAGCAAAAGGAATCACTCTTTTCGGGGTTTGTCCAACTCAACCAGCTTACCGTAAACTCTAGATCAATGGGATTGTCACTAAAGCATGCAGCCATTATTTGTCTAGGAACATCTGTTAAGATTCCCCATTGCCTTGAGATACTCAAACCAGGTCGTCTTGCACTAGGTAAAACTGAGCACTGATGCCGGAGACCTGATTCATTCTCCCATTACCAAACTTACCAAACTTTCGTTCTTTTTCAATTGAGAATCATTAGTTGGATCGCAAGTTAATCATTACTACCTTAGGCCATTTACATTATAAAGCATCTATCCTATAGAAACAAAAGAACTACATTGAAGTGACTTGACAAATGGGTCCACGGCTCGAAAAAATTGTCAGACCTCTTTATCCTATAGAAACAAAAGAACTACATCGAAGTGACGTGAGAAATGGGTCCACGGCTCGAAAAAATTGTCAGACTTCCATGACCTTTTTAAATTAACCGTAGTGTCTGGGCTAACTTGCACGATCATCGACTAATTCCATACGATACCTGCTACCTCTCACCAGCACAGAGGTACCTGATAATTTTGTCCACCAAAGCTTGGATATATGAGAAGAAATCACCTAGTGTTTTTTCCTCAGCTGGGATTTGAACCTGAGACCTTATGGTTTTCAATTCTCTTCATTGACCAATAGGCCACACCCTTAGAGGCCCTCCTTGACCTTAAAAATATGCATATAAGGATCCCATTCATATAGCTGAAGTTGAAAGAAGGAAGAAAACTTTGCTTGACGTACAATTCCAAGTACATGTTTGATTGTGCAGCGACACAAAGGAGAAAAGTAGATATCAAGAAATAAGAAGTCAAATATACAAGAATAAACAAATACTATGGGCAACGGACCTGCATACAAACAAGTTTGGAGTCACCCTGAGCACGAATACTTGTAAACCCTTTGCTATGTGCATATTTCAAACCCAAGATAAAGCCTCGATATTCAGCAACACTGGTTGTTGCTATTCCTAAACCTTCACGCAGCCTACAAATCTATTAATCGGAAAGTTGTAATATAAGTGCGACGAGAATAAGGAAAAGGAAATACAAATCCAAGAAAAGTAATTATTACCAAACTTCCGTCATCAGCTCGTACCACAGCTCCTGCACCAGCTTGTCCCGGATTTCCTTTCGAAGAACCATCAAATTCAAGAGTACAAGATCGCTGCTGAGAATAACCAGGATCAGGTTCTTTCCATCCCAACACCACAAACCATCAAGAAAATTTATAAGAGATCGACCTGATAGTTGGCCGCAAATTCACCATAAATTCGTTAAATTAAGATTTATTAGCTTCACCGACTTCCCATTGAGTATAAAGACAATTTATGTTGTTAATTAGATATACTGAAAGCATTTATGTTTTACAATTAGCTATCATCTTAACAGCCACTCACACCAGATGATAGAGCTTGGTCACCCTTAGGAAGATCTAACTTGATATGCTTTCTTAGGGAATCATTTGAAATAACTGCTGATCCAACAGCATCCTGCAAATAAACATGCCAATAAACAAGATAGATTCCAGTACTGTGGCAAGCCAAACACGTTATGCAGGGTAGCAAAACAAGAAATTAGTATTTCTTTTTTGTAAGAAATGTAAGTCAGTAGTACTTTTTTCATCAGTAAGTACTAATGAAACTACTTTGAGCCAAAATTTACATAATATACCTCTCCAAGAGCCAGGTAGTAGAATGCAGTACAGCAACAAAATACCATTGTAAATATACAGTTTGACAATCGCAACTCTATGTACTTCGCATACAAAAAGATGTCAGAATTCATCAAATTACAACATTTAAACAACCTAAATATGTTCTCTATCAACCAATAGGTGGTAACAGTTCCTCTCTAATGCTTGATGCAAACTTTGCGAAAAACTCTTTCGCCTAAGATAAGAACACTAATTAAAAAGACAATGGTTATCTATCTAGTTCATTTAAACTACTCAGCACTCCCGAAAATTCATCCTAAGTATTTGTTTTGAGGAAAAAGGTTTCCCATCTAGTCATTAAACCTAGCCTGCACTTCTGAAAGTTCAGGACTATAGCTCTTAATTATCTTTTCCACTAATATCAGACTAGTAATAGGAAATCTTTTTTATTATGACGACAAATCTGTCCAGGGTCAACACTTAGGACAAACCCCAGACTAGTAATAGGAAACTTTTTATCCATATTTGAGGGTGCCCTTGAAAATGTTAGTCAATCAAGGGGGAAAGTTCGAATCAGAAAGAAATAAAAGAAACATCAAAAGATGTTAACACATTTTCATATATATATATATATATATATATATATATTTTCATTTTCACCATTTTTCTGTTTTGTCAAAGCACAGACGTGGTAAACTGGGATCACCCAGTCATCTAATGAAAATACTTGACACACAGGTCACATGTAATTTCAGATCTCCACAATGCTATTAAACCAGAGGACAGAAATGTTTGTCAAGTTTATGTGGGAGAAAAAATTTCTTAACAGGAAGGACATTAATATCTCTTGTTTATTCTTCATTCTATGTTATTGATGTTTCTCATCTAAATAACTTATTGCTATAATGAGAAAAGACACCTTTTACTAGAAACAGTATTTTCAGATATCTAGCTACATTTACTAGGATGTGGCTCTTTGTAATGAAGTTCAATCTTATAAAGTCCAATACCTTACACGAGTTCATTAAGATAAAGAAAAAACAAAGATAACAGCTGCAAAAATTTGATGACAAGCTACTTTTCTCATAAGCCACCCAGCATGACCAAATTATATTTTATTGAAATACCACTACTTTTATTTTTAAAATTTTTTGTAAGCAACCAGCATGACCTATTTTTATGTTTGTTCACACAAATACAACAGCTGTGGAGACCGGTAGACAAATTACTACTGCTACTGCTATATCGAGATATTACTACACCAGCTGCAGAAACCTATTAACAAACTACTACTATTCCGCTTAAATACATCTAGCTCATCAATAGGTGCTTTATGGGAGACTTTCAACCTCATTAGATAACCATTGTCTTCAAAAAAGGGCTACCAAGACATAATAGATAAACGATGATAGTTCACTCACAATGGATTAGTATGAAATTTTCAAATTGAAAATGCAGATCTACTTTAGGAAAGGAAAATGCCTTCCAGCTGAATAAGTAGATTTCTCGTGTAAATTGTAAGACCATTGATTATGGCATCTTAAAGAACATTCAGCAAACAAACCCCTGGTGTTATAATCAGCCTCTATATCCAGAGAGGTGCAAATAGAAGAATGTACTCACTTCCTTGGATAACCAAAAACTGTTGGCACATTAAATTAACTCTCACTCTGTGGTACAAGAATGAGATATACTTCAAAAGCAACTGCTGCAGACACCGACCGACTTACAATAACCTAATATATCCCTAACTTACCGTATATTCTGACCACATTGCTTCCTGTGACCTCTTCTTCGGCATATGCTCAGACGCTCCACCTTTGGAAGAAGATGGCTGCTGCAAAAGATTTAGTGCTAATAAACTTGTATGACCAATTCAAAAGAAAAAAGAGGAAACGGCAAAGATGTGCCATTTCTGGTAAATGGTCATCACATACTTTACTATTACATTCAGCTTGTTCGCTATGGACTTGTTATCACGAACAGTGCTGGGAAGAAGAAAGGGGAGAATAGATACAACGAGAGGAGAGAGAAAAATCATATAGCAAATTAGAGAGATGTAAGCATCTTTCAGCAATCTTCATAAGTAGGAAAGTTAACTTATATCGAGTACAAAATAATTATTGAATCAGCTGCATTTAGAGATGATTTTCGATAATATTGGCTATGCAGAAGAATAGCAATGCGGTATCTGTAGTGTACAATGTATAATGTAATTTACAGAAGCTCACACTTTCTCCCTGTACCATATCTTCATATAGTACGGGAACAGCACAAAATTTGTAATCTTTTCCTTAATAAGGGGATCTGTGAGGACCTGAGGTGACAAGTCTTCATCCCTTCTGTATCATAAAGACAGAAATTGAGTTTTAAAATTTAGAGTATTTCAATGCAAACAACATGGTCAGACTTCACCAACTCTGCTAATGACAGCAAGGGTTAAACTTTTTCTCTATGCGACAAAATCAGCCAGAGAATCATGGTTTTACTTCCAAAGATGTATTGCAATCAATACATCAGGATTCTATATTTTATCTTTTGGTTTTGTCTCTATTTTAGGATTCTTTTTGATAGGTGGTATGAATGCTATCATAAGTGGAAAGGAGAGTTTTTAGTAATCCAGTAGTTTTCACAAGGAACAAACATGTTATTTGTCTTGCATCAACCTCACAATAGGATCCACAAGTCAAAATTTGGATCAAATGGGCAAATTTAACTATTTCCTTCTTTTTTCCTTTTTATTTTTCTTTTGTAAATCTTGTGTGTCATCCTGGAAAGAGAATGGTACTCTGAATAAGGACTGCCTTTGTCTAAAAGTTTTGAGATGAAATACCTTACCCATAAGAGATAAATAGACAGCTTTTGCACACAAATTAGTACAATGTCTGACCTGAAAAGGGCATGGTACTAGAGTCCCAAAGAGACCTTCGGTCAGATCTGCAGCTTTGATAGAATAAAGTGCATGTTTAAGCCCACAAGATAGAAGATATTCCTCTGTGTCCTTTGGCATGGAGTAGCCTTTATACACACTAACCGGAGGATCACATATCTGCCAGAAGCAGGGGGGCAACTGATTAACACACTACAAGATATATTTGCCAATTCATGCACATTTGGTTTATAAACATTGATAGAAATTCCTATACTACTATAACTGTATCATTAATTTGGGAAAACCAAGCTGAAGCTATAACAAATAACAGTATTTTTTTATTTTTGTGATAAATAATATTAATCATAAAAGGAAAGCATTAAAAGAATGTTGAAATATGCACAGAAATTATGCTCCAGCTTTAAGTCAAACAATGTAAATGAAGCTGTAGCAAATAAATATGGTCAATCTTTTATGATGTTCTCAAGGTGCAACTACCTCTGCGCATATTCACGAGGAAAAGAACAGATAAGGTAAATTCGGTGTAGCATTTGCCAATACATCTTGGCTATAAATTGATAAGTGAAGTTGATCCAGTTGCAAGAGCACTCCACTTCCAACCAACAGATTGGGAGTTCAGATTTTTTTTGATAGGTAAAAGGAATAAACACACACACACACACACACACACACACACATATAACTGCAGATTAAAATTCCTCCAAAACAGTTACCGAGGATCCGACTTGAGTCTGGCAGTCACTCAAGTTTCTGTAGACTCCAACAAGATCTCCTTTCTTAACAACAAAGAAGCCATTATCTTCCTTCATTACTGGAGTAGGGTCAAACTTTTTGAAAAATAACTATCTCCACTACACTTGTTAGATGCTAACTCTATGCAGCAAAAGTCAAAATCAACTTTCTAATTCAAGCATGAGCAAAAGCTTTTCATCCAATAAAGCACCGGAATTCCACAAATTGAACTCTTCAAGGCAAGACGTGTAGTGCTTGTTACTATTGTAACTGTACATGCATGAAACAAGCTACTCATTATATGTTACTTCCCTCAAACTGGATCCAATCCTGCAAAATCAAGAAAAAAGAAAAAAATAAAGAGAGAAAGGAAATACAAAAAAGTTTTGTTTTTAACTCAACTGAACCATGCATGTATGGTGAGCATCCGCCACTTCCAACCAAGAGGTTGTGAGTTCGAGTCACCCCAAGAGCAAGGTGGGGAGTTCTTGAAGTGAAGGAGCCGAGGGTCTATTGGAAACAGCCTCTCTACCTTAAGGTAGGGGTAAGGTCTGCGTACACACTACCCTCCCCAAACCCCACTAGTGGGATTATAACCATGCATGTATGTAAATAACTTCCCTAAACAGCGTAGGGGAGAGAACATAGCAAAGGAAACTATTATCTTATCCACTATTCTCTTTGTTCCACTACTACAATCACGNATATATATATATATTAAAGATTAATAATGATATTAGAAGAGTGTTTTGATTAAACTTTTGAGTTTGAAAGGATTAATAATAAGTGTTAGTTGGAGCACGTAATATGAAGTTAAAGTTTTAAGATAGTTGTTGTTAGTCATGTGTTTATACCCGAACCTTAGATTGACACAATTAAAATTAATAAATGTCATATGTGCATCCCCGCACCTTAACATTTTTTTTATTAATTCTTAAAATAATCACTCCTTTTTCGGGAATGTTTTTCCCGTTAAAGTGACAGTTGTAATGCAAATACTTCCGCTCATTCTCCCTTTGAAGAAAAACAATTCCGGCAACCAAACAACAGAAAATGACAACATTTTCCTGAAAAATGACATCTGTCATACCAAACACACCGTCACACGCTATAAGTTCTGCTCTATTCCAGACGATATATTCCTTTTTTCCCCATTCTGGAGCGTAAGCAACCATACATGGAACAAAAAGAAAAATACCTTAGTTCCAGCTTGAGAGATTAGATGCTCAAGAATGTTAAACTGGATTCTTCTTCCCTTTGCCTCAAAAATTCAAACTTTGAGTAAACGCCCAGCAGGAAAAAAAAAAGAAAAATTACTTTCGCCTGAGTTGTTAGACAAATCAACGACTCCGCTGCAAAAAGAGATGGACTTTTCAGGAGTAGTTGCAAATAACGTTAAAATGGAGGAAATAAAGAGAAAAGAGTATAGTTGTTCAAAGAAAGCTGACAAGTCGAAAATGATTACAAGAAATTAGAACCCTAATTTTGGAAAATCAAAGAATGGGTAGTCAAATCGATGTGCTTAGCTAACAAACAGAAAAGAAATGACATAACATACGCTTAATTAGTCGATGAAGTTGCGGAAATCTTGGACAGCATCAACTACAAGAGCGTGGTGGGCTTCTGAAAGAAAGGGGGTGGGGGTTAGAGCGCGGGTGTGCGTAGAGAGTCAAGATATTCAGCAATAGCAGGTAGGGTGTTTAAGAAAAGTGAAAAACCGATAAATGCCAAATCAAACACTGTCCTGAATAATTGACATGTTCATTTAGCTAAGTTTGATTTTAAATTTTAAATAACTTAAACAGAGGGAATAATTATCATATACTTCGGAAAAAAATTCTCACACAAAAATATTTTAATTGATTATTATTTATCATTCTAAATATCGAATGGATTTGTAATTCATAAAATTATCGGGAAAAGAATGAACCCGAGAAAATTGAAAACTCAAATACCCTAGCTAAGAAAAGCCGAAATTGGTTGGTTTGGGGGAAGGTTAAACCAAACCAACCTTGAACACTTTAATAGCCGGTTTGGCCAAAGTTATTTTTAGTCCAAAAATACTTTTTTTTACCACAAGTGTTTTTTTTCAAAAACTAAGTTATTTGGCCCAACTTTTAGAAGGAAAAAAAAAATATTTTTGAGGAGAAACAAAAGTAGTTTTTGAGAAGCAGAAAAAAGTTGCTTCTCTCCGAAAGCACTTTTCTATGAAACGCGTTTGAAAAAATACACTTAGAAGCAGTTTTTAAAAATTTGGTCAAATACTAATTACACCTCAAAAGTGTTTTTCAAATTAATTAACCAAACACAAACTGCTTATTACCAAAAGTATTTTTTTTGATAAATAACATTTCTTAAAATAAACTGATTTTAGAAGTTTGGCCAAACAATCTAAGTAGCAATAGCCTTTATAGACGACTTTTATATTAAGACAATAGGGTTTAACAAATTTGGCGTCGACCCGGTTCAATTCATTTCATATTTCTATATAGGAATTTTTACATACCTATACACTATTGGAAACTTTATTACCCTCTCTACTCAAGTTTCAATTTAATTACAACTCTCTCTCTCATGTGCGCTCTCTCTCTCTACGTCTCTCTCTATCTCTCAATCCCTAATTCCAGTAATGTAGAGCAAAGGAAAAGAGAGCAGCAATTCCACCATTGACAGCCATTAAAAAACTTTGAAGTTTTGAATTCGAATTTGAGTTTTCAAAAAATATTATTTGTTTGAATTGGGTATAAACAATTGAGAATTCTTTCTACGTCTCTCTCTATCTCTCAATCCCTAATTCAGTAATGTAAAGCAAAGGAAAAGAGAGCAATAATTCCACCATTGACAGCCATTAAAAAGCTTTGAAGCTTTGAATTCGAATTTGGGTTTTCAAAAACCAGTATTACTTTGATGGGGTGTTGTTGCAAACAATTGGTAATATAGTTTGGAGTTTATATCTCAATTTTGAGGGTGTTTTGATGAAGATTAGACTTGATTTTGGTTGAATTTCAGATTGAAACTCGTCGAAGAAGAAGAAGAAGAAGAAGACGACGACGACATGACATACATTATACTTACAAAATTGTAGTAAAGTTATAGTAAAATTATAGAAAAATTGTAGTAAAATTATAGAAAAAATGTATTTAAATTGTATGATATTGTAGTTGTATTTAACTGTGTAAAAGTAATGTATGAAAGTTGTGGATAAGTTGTAGATAAGTTGTAAATAAGTGTATACTGTATATTTAGTTGTATGAATTTTATTTTTAGTATGTATGAAAGTTGTTGATAAGTTATAAATAAGTTATATATTATATAATTAGTTGTATAAAGTTTATTTTTAGTTTATATGATGTTGTAGATGAATTAATTAATAGATTGAGAGCAGAAAATGAGCGGAGAAGAAGAGTGGTTTTCTTCGTCAATAATATCAATTTCTTAGAAAAGGAGCACCACACTTTGAGGACTGCAAGCTGACTGCAGAAACAAATATACGACTTGATACCCGAGTTCAAAAAGACAGTTTCCCTCCCTGGACTATATGGAAGGGACAATTAGATAACTTCTTTTTGACAGCAGAAGACGAGAAACTGCGGTATCATAGGCATCAAACAGTATCTGAAGGAGCTTTTTAAGGTGGAATATATATATTTTGTAAACAAAATGTGTGTAGGTCGGGTAAATAACAAAACATGAATAATTTTGGTAATAAAGTTTCAAATAAATATATAGGTATGTAAAAATCCCTTCTATATATGTTTCATCTTTCACTTACAGAATTTCTTGTTCCATCCATTTCTTAATTTACGTTCATAATTCAAGTTTTGGGATTTTTCTTTTCCGTAGGAACTGGGACATAACATAGCTTTTTCAACCGAAAAAAGAGTTAATGTAAGTGGGTATGTGATAACTTGGAGGAGGAAAATACAAGAAAGAATGACTTATCGTGAGACTGAAAAACTGGATCGGAGTATCGGACTATGCACAATTTCTAATTTGTGATTAGACGATTTAGTGTGAGGAGGGGAAATTTTTTTTTTTACATAATTTCTCAGGCTTAACGTCCTGGCTAAACGAATCACAAATAAAGCTTTTGTAGGGAATTGGAGTTATGGTAATGTTGGCTAAATTTAAAGGTTAAGAAGCCTGCAAAAAATGTGATAAAAGAAAGTTACTAGCTAGGCTGAAAGTAATAGGAAATGCTTGAGAATAACTTGATTGAATTGAACTTGACTCCTTGGTTGTGTGTTGATTGGATTGTATCCAGCAATATTTAACTGAGATTTTATGTTAAAAGTAAGTAGAATCTCGTTCGTTACAATAACTCTTTTTGTCGGTGTCCTTGGCCACGAGCTACAAAGACGTAGGTTGAGGCCAGAGGTGTACATGAATCGAGTTGGTTCGATTTTTATCAAAATTAACCTAATCAACTTATATTGGTTTGGATTGGTTCGATTTTGTCGGGTTTTTCAGTTTTTTTTGTTATTATTTCAATCTTACTTTGTTAAATTTTTTATAAGTAAATATATATTTACTAAAAATTAAAATAATTGAGAAATATATGATCGATTAAAATATTCTTATTAAAGAATTTTCTTAGTAACACATGATAGATAATTTTACGTTGATGTACAGTACCTTCAAGGTTAACCGAATTTAATAATTAAACATAAAAATAAATATGAACCTATATAATGATATGTTCTATTTAATTTTAAATTATCGAAATACCATTTTAAATTCGAAAAAGATATAAGAATTTAATAGATCTTGACATATGAATATGGAAGAACAAAGAGATTGACACATTTTACTAACACTTGATAAGAAAGTGATCATCCAGCTCATTATTTAAAGTTAATAAATATGAAACACTTCATATTTAACTAAATATTACATTCCATAAGAGAATTGCAAATATTTCTAGATATTTTTTAAGAAAATTCTTTAAAAAAATCTTAAAGGTATATATAAAAATTATAAATTTATATGTCAATTTGGTTTGAATTTTTTACACAATACCAAACTAAATCAAACCAAACCTAATCGAGGTTTTTAATCAATCTGATTTGACTTTTCGGTTTGGTGCGATTTCACGGTTTGACACCCCTAGTTGAGGCATTCAACTAGTTCCCATGCTTTTAGCAAGAATAGATTATAAGCTCAACGATACCATCCCACTTTTGGTGATCTGAGGTGTAATTACACGTCTAACTCAACTTAGGAGTTAAAAGTTTGGTGTTGACATTATTCTTCTACACAGCCTTTATTTTTCCCTTATGCTTGTTGAAACATTAAGTTTGAGTATATCTACTTTACCTTAGCTTAGTGTAGTGAGCCCTTAAGCACAGGTCGAGTTCCTGACAACTACATCAAAGTTCTGCCAAACAACCAACACGTTAATGCTTCGTCAAAAAATTTGGGAGGTCAGATTATTATTTGGATTCTATAGAACACACCACTATTGGAAAAAAAGTTTTAACTGCATCAACCCGCGTTGAAACTATTAGATTCGAATGAACTCATTACCGAAGAGCTGCATCCGTCACGGTAGAGTGTCCGTTGTTTGCCTTTTTCTTTCTTCTTCTATTTTATTAGATGTGGGGTTCGAGAAGGGAGTTCTAAGTAGGCAACTCTTCAGCATTGTTAATGTAATTTGGCTCAAGCCACAAGGTACAATACTAGAACTGTTAAATTCCTCATGTACGATAACGCAAAGGTTTGACTAGAATAAATTAAAGTAATTGAGTTGCAGTTTATTTTGTAACTCACTTGTTTGGCAGCATGCAGTTTAGAATATTAAGGAAAACAATAATGTATCATGGTATTAAAATGTTACCAACTTATAGTTATGGCGAACTGAATCGATTACAAATCTGAGGCTTAATTGCAAATAAGTCATAATAGACAGACCAAAGATCTAGATTCTACATTTCTTCAAAATCAAATCATCTATGCATTCACATTTTTCTGTCCTAGCAAATAGAAACAAACACATTTTAATCAACTCTAACGGTCATTGATAGCCTCTTTCTTGGGAATAAAAAACACCCAATGGGCAGAAATCTGGAAAAAATACCACAGAGATCATATATAGTAAACATTGTTTACTAAATTAACCTGTCAAATTCTTGATCACTTGCAGTAAAATCTCATTCCATGTATCAATAGGACCTGGCAAACACCAATGAACACAGTCATTCTGTACGCGTTCCTCGATCCCATTAGCAAATGGAAATGGATGCATATAAGGTCCAGGATGACCATCTGGCCTTAGTAATGCTAATTTTGTTACATCCACTGCCTCAATTCTTACATTAGACAGATTCTCAGCTTCCTTTTTTGCAGCATTCACTTGATTTATCGTTGTTTCCCTCATCTGCGCGTCCATCCATTCGAGCTTTATCTCCTCTGGATTATAAGGCTTTGTTTTAGGACATGCCCCAAACTTGTCCCACTCTCCTTCAAAATGTGCTGGTGAAAATGTTGTCACAATCACATCAAGTACCCCTCCATTGCCCTTATTATTATTGCCTCTCCTCTCAATTATTGTCTTAAGAGTAGTCCGATATGCCTTGCCATAAACATCATAAAATCCAATTTCAGTGTAATTCTGACCAGAACAGTAATGACAACCTAGTACTGAGTCCCCATAGTAATACACTGCTGAATGCAAGAACCAATGTCCCACTGATAAAATAATCATATCCAATTGCCCTAAATCAGAAGCCCATTTCTCATCCACAGAGTCCAAAAATAGAGAATTATAGTTTTTCTTGTCTGATTTTTCTATACCTTTAACGAGAAAAGGTGACCAATATATTGATACATTCACATTGTGTGAAGGAAAATGCCATTTCCTAAACTTATTATCCTCACCATGACTAAAGACTAAATTAGGAGGACTAACTGTGGCTAACAAGCAGAGTAATGACTCCAATTGATTTCTAGCCAAGGAATCACCAACAAAGGCTAAATTCTTGTTCTTGAGAATTTGTAGAAAAGATTTTGGGTCAAACCTGGGAAGTTGACAATTTTTTGGCTTCCATCTCCAATAAAGATAGCCTTTATCAGATCTTCCATGTGGTATGCAGTTTTGTCCTTCTTTTACCGTACCACATTTTGTATATAAAGGGCCTAATTTGTCATGAACCCATTTGCCATCGCTATAGTCACATGAAATTTCGACATTATCATTTCCCACTTCTGCAAAAAGAACAATTTTTTGATGTAAAAACATTATCAACAAATGTGTATGCAAATCTTGGAAACATATATTACAAGAAAGAACAAATATTTGTGACAGGGGGAAATTTGTGATGGAAGAATAAGACCATCACAAGTCCGTAATAAATTTCGTCCATATTGATGAATTTCGTCATATGATCGGAATAGTCTGTCATAAATATTTCGTCACAAATATGTGTTTTTTTTGTAATGATATATAAGAACAAAAATGGGATGTTCCTATTGTACCTTTTGGTGGAGTTGAAGAAGAGGTGGTGACGATTAGTGAATGTTTAGTTTGAGAAAGAGAGAGAGGCCCAATTAAGTGAAATAGAAATATTATAGGGAGAAGAGCATACAAAGCCAAAAGTAATAACTTCCTCAAGGGAAAATGATGAGGTTGGTCTTTGAATGGATTAATTGTATCCATTTCTCATTCCTAACCTTGAACTTTCTTCCTTGTCCCTCAAAGAATTTTTGACATAACAGAGGATCAATGCATTGTCGATAGGAGAAAAGGAATTTGCTTTTTTCTTTTTTCTTTTTTTTTTGGTTGAAAAGGAAAGCTCTAATTTTGTGGGAGGATTTAGTCAAAGTGGCGTCGAGGATCCCATTTTATTTGGTTGGCCAACCAATTTTTTACTTTTACTTCATTGCCTTTCGTGGTGAGCTGTTGTCTTCAAAAAAGGTAAAAATAGCACGGGGTAGCTAATTTTTGGACTGATAATTGAAAAATAGCCAACGTTTGTAAAGTTATTTAAAAAAATAGTCACTATTTTGCTGCAACACGGAAAATTCCAGCATAATATACTGAAAATTGGTGCACATATATATGAACTTCCAGCAAATTATGCTGGAACTCCAGCATACGGAAAGTTCCAGCATAATATACTTAGAGATGTGTATGAACTTCCAGCATATTATGCTGGACCAGTATATTATGCTGAAAGTTCACATGTAAAAAATTCGAACTCCAGTATATTATGCTGGAATATTTTTTCGGATTTTAAACAGTATTTTCGTTCAGATTTATCTTTACATGAAAAATGGCTAAATTTCGATTATTTTTGAAACTGTTGCTATTTTTCAATTATCACTTGTAAATCTGACTATTTTTGAATTTCACCCTCAAATAAGTGGTACAGCTACCTTTTCCATCCTTTTTTCATGAATGGAAATTTTAAAGTACACATTTTTCCTAATTAAGATACTTAGGTAAAGGATAAAAAAGAGCAAGAAGAGAGTAAAAGTATGGTAACAAAATATATTATGATTTACAGTAATACAATTTAAATTAGAAGTGTAAGTATTTGAAAATAAGTGAATAATATGATAACGTTTGAACAACGTTGTTTAGGTTGTTGAATTTTCTGTGTTTTGGAAGTAGATAATCAATAATGGATTTAAATTTTATACATTTTGTGTTTGCAATTAGTTTTTACTCATGAAAACAGGTTAGATACTATTTTTACCAAATTGTCAATTATTGTAATACTTATCAAAAATTTAGTAGTAATTACCTAATAAATAACACGGGTATGCCAATACTTTTGGATAAATTAAACTAAACACCATGTAATATGACTCAATTGCAAATACACTTCCTCAAGTTTAATCACTTATACCCATATACTATGGATGGGTATATGAACTCCTTATGTAGTGGAAATCCTACCAAAAGAAATTTTGATTTAACTAAATAAAATTAAAGATAATTTGACGTGAATTAATAAATAAGCTGTATATGGGTAAAATCGGGCTCATGGTACCCCCGATCTCCGACAAAATAAGCCAAGCTCGAGACATGATGACAGGGGACCGAAATCGGGGCAAGAGTCTCATCAAGTTATGGTTCGGAATCGGTTCTAGCTTTGAACGACTTCGAAGAACATGGTCGGGCAATCAAGCACAACCGACGGAGGTCCGTTATACCCTGGACCGGCCGGATATACCTCTCGTGCTAAGGCCTGCGCTTACCACCGGAGCCATCGAGATCACGCCCCCCGGATTCGATTCGAGTTCCAAGACCTCGAAAAAGCATTACTAAACGGTTGCACATGACTAACGAAGGATCAGTGATATCCGCGCCCGACCGGATATCATTATGCAGATCTCGGCCCGTATCGGCAACAGATCAGTGATTAACGAAAAAGAAGATTTTTACCTATTTTAGAATTGTACTAGGGATGAAACTCTCTTACTATATAAAGGAGACGATTTTTATTCAAAGGGCATACTGTAACACGCATTCCAAAGCAATACATTACTATTTTTTCTATTATTAGCTCTTTCTCTTAACCATCAGTGCTAGTCATAGCGAGTCCGGATCGAGGGTAAATATTTTAATATTTCAATAAGACTGAACTAACCTCCTCGTGTGGTTTGAATCTATTTTATTTTTGTTTGTTCAATTTGACTTAATCTATCGCTTTGTATCAAATTAATCTATGTATCCTTAAAACCACATACAAATTTAATTGTTATCCGATTTTGAGGATAAACAGTTTGGCGCCCACCATGGGGCTAAGGATAATAGTGGCGATTTGATACAAATTTCCATACCACACCCTACTTCACGCTTGTTCTTTGAAGTGTCTTTGATTTCGGGTCTCTATTTAAGATGTCGAACTCCCAGTTTGCCCCTCTAAACACGGATGTTAAGTCTGGCCACCATAGAGAGAACAATAATATAGTGCCCGATAAAGAGGTGCCCCCCGCCGATCCCAACGGAATTCCGGTTGCTGACCTAATCGACGCCAACTCACATGTGGCCATCAATATGAATTTGCCCACCGATCCTGAGAACAACATCCGCGCGGGAGTCCGGTCGGTAGCTCAAAATACTCGTGACGGTGAAGGAGATGGGATTAGCTTACGGGTGATCTTCGAAATGCTAGAGGCTCAGCAGACAGCGATAGCCTAACTGCAGAACCGAAGCCGCGCTCCCAGTAGAGTTGAGCCCGAATCATCTCGAGAAAACACTCACAGAAATGAACCAGTCGTGGATAGGCCAAATGAAGCTGAACCCGAAACCACCCCCGAGATAATAAAGATGATTGAGAAATTGAAAAGGCAGGTGGAAACGGGAGAAAAGAAAATCGAAGCCAACGACAAGAAGGTTGAGACTTAGAACTCCAGGGTCGACCAAATCCCCAGAGCGCCACCGATATTGAAAGTCCTAGACTCCCAAAAGTTTGTTCAGAAACCCTTCCTTCCGAGCACAGCCCCGAAACCGATCCCTAAAAAGTTCCGCATGCCTGAAATTCCTAAGTACAAGGGAACAACCGACCCAAATGAGCATGTGACCTCCTACACGTGCGCCATCAAAGGGAACGACTTGGAGGATGATGAGATTGAGTTTGTCCTGCTGAAAAAGTTTGGGAAAATTCCGTCAAAGGGAGCTATGATATGGTATCACAACCTACCCCTAAATTCTATTGACTCATTTGTTATGCTTGCAGATTCCTTCGTAAAAGCATACGCCGGGGCTATCAAGGTCGAGACCAGGAATTCGGACCTTTTCAAAGTGAAACAGAGGGATAATGAGATGCTCATAGAATTCGTGTCTCGGTTTTAAATGGGACTAATGGACCTGCCTCCGATCACGGACAATTGGGCCGTTCAGGCCTTCACCCAAGGACTTAATACTCGAAGCTCGTTGGCTTTGCAGCAGTTGAAGAAAAATCTGGTAGAATATTCGGTCGTAACTTACGCCTATGTGCATAACCGATATCAGTCAAAAATTAGAGTCGAAGATGATCAGCTTGGGTCCCCTTCCGGGTCTGTTTATCCTGTCCGAGCTAGTGACAGACCCAAAAGAGACATTGATCGTGAACCAAGGCCAAGTAGGGATCGATATCAACCGTATAACAGGGATCGAATGGGTAACGGATCTGGATGAAACCCTATGAGAAATGAAAGGAGAAGTGATCGGAGTCAAAATAACTGGGGACTCATGAGCAAAAACGGTATTGATAGGCCTATCGGGCCTAAGGAAGCACCGAGGTTATCAAATTATAACTTCAACGTCGATGTTGCTGCTATCGTATCTGCCATCGGACGCATCAGAGACACCAAATGGCCATCGGACGCTACCAAATCGATAGTCGAGAAACTGGAGCAAGTCGTACTGATTGAGCACTTGCACGATCGAAAGGCATACCTGGGCACGGGGTTGAGTCTCGAGCTCAGGAAAAACTCATTCAATTCCTTATAGCTCATATAGATTGTTTCGCTTGGTCCCACCTTGATATGACAGGGATCCCATCGGAAATAACCACTCACAAGCTAAGTTTAGACCCAAAGTTCCACCCGGTCAAGCAGAAGAGGAGACCCCAGTCTGAAGTCAAGCATGCGTTCATCAAGGACGATGTATATAAACCCTTTAAAATAAGGCAAAATCGGGAGGTTAAGTACCCGTACTTGTTAGCAAACGTATAAGTAGTCCCTAAAGGACTTGTTAGCAAACGTATTAGTAGTCCCTAAAGGACTTGTTAGCAAACGTATTAGTAGTCCTTAAAAAGAGAAACAAATTAAGAATGTGTGTAGACTATAAAGACTTGAATAAAGTGTGTCCTAAGGACTCTTTCCCTTTGCCTAACATCAATCGCATGATGGATGCAACGGTCGGCCACGAGATCCTCAGTTTACTCGACGTTTATTTCGGGTACAACCAAATTCGGATGGACCCGGGCGATTAGGAAAAAACTTCCTTCATCACTAAGTACGACACCTACTGCTATAACGTGATGCCATTCGGACTAAAAAATGCCGGTTCCACTTACCAACACCTAGTAAATCGGATATTCGAAAAACAAATAGGAAAATCAATGGAGGTTTACATTGACGATATGTTGGTTAAGTCCCTACGAGCAGAGGACCATTTGAAATATTTGCAGGAAACCTTCAGCATATTGAAGAAGTACAATATGAAACCGAACCCCGGTTGGATCCGGAAAATTCCTTAGGTTCATGGTATCCAACCGGGGAATCGAGATTAATCTCGATAAGATCAAGGCCATCGAAGATATCACTGTTGTGGACAATGTCAAGGCAGTTCAAAGGTTAAACGGACGCATAGCTGCCCTGGGGCGATTCATCTCGAGGTCCTCCGACAAGAGCCACCAGTTCTTCTCACTGTTGAAGAAGAAGAATAACTTCTCATGGACCCCGGAGTGCCAACGAGCCTTAGAGGAACTCAAACGGTATCTCTCGAGCCCACTTCTGCTTCATACTCCGAAGATAGACGAACAATTATACATGTACTTAGTAGTATCTGAGATAGCGGTAAGTGGAGTCCTGGTCGGGAATAGGAAGGTACGTAATTTTCAATCTATTATGTTAGCAGGACTCTAGGCGAGGCCGAAAATAGATACCCTCACCTGGAAAAACTGGCGCTTGCTTTCCTAAGCGCCTCTAGGAAGCTGAAACAGTACTTTCAATGTCACCCTATATGTGTTGTAACTACTTACCCATTAAGGAGTGTAATGCATAAACCCGAACTCTCTGGACGATTGGCCAAATGGGCCGTAGAGATCAGCGGGTATG